CTGTTTAATGAGAAACTATATGTTGTGTAAACCTTCATCTAAAGTACAATTTTAAAAAATTAAAAAAAAAATCAGCCTTAATTTCCTCATCTCTAGAAGGGAACTATAAATACTTACATGACAAAGCTCTTGACGAAGATAAATGAAATGAATTAAATAAGAGGATGTATTTGTGAAACTCTGAGTACAATATTTGGTACGTGGTAAGTGCTAATAAATTATAGATGTTATAATTATTTGTACCAATAGTAATTTTCCCACAGATTTGACTTTTATCCAGGTTGTCCACGTGAGACTATGAAGGACAGACTGACTCCTGGTCTGACACTACCTAGAAAGAAGGGTTAATTGCTTCAGACTTTCAGAGTCATTTTTCCAATCTCTCCAGGACATTCTGGAATTCTGTAAGGAATCTTCTGGACTTCTGAATACACCTACTTCCAGAAATAGGAACAGTGCTCACAGAGAAACAAGGTAAGACATGAATGGCTCTCCCAATCGGCATGTCTGATACACGCTTCAGATGGCCCTGAGGGTCCTGTGCCAGCTTGGCTGAAGACATGTTACAGCTAGTGGTACCTGATGTGGGAATGTAAAGGCTACCAGAAACCCTGCTTGTCTGCACTCCCTGGACATTCTATCAGGCTCCTATAAGAAGTTCCTATGTTAGGTGACCACCACCGTCTGTCAGTTTGTTGTACTGCGGTGGCTGTGTGTTTCTGTGATGCTGGAAGCTATGCCACCAGTATTTCAAATACCAGCAGGATCAGCCATGGTGGGCAGCTTCAGCAGAGCTTCCAGACTAAAACAGACTTGGCAATCTACTTCTGAAAATTAGCCAGTGAAAATCTCATGGCTCACAACAGAACATTTTCCAATATAGTGCTGGAAGGCACTATACAGTAGCCACAACAATGGACTCAAACATACCAATGATCATGAAGATGACGCAGGACAGGGCAACATTCTGTTCTGTTATACATCCAGTCGCATGAGTCAGAGCCAAATTGGCGGCAACTAACAACAACAAATATTAGGTGGGAGTATACATGATAACAATAACAGCTACCATTTATTGTTCAGTATGTTCTATATATGTGTTATATTTTTATATGCACTGCTATTTAATATTTACAGCAAACCTGCAAAGAAGATATTATTTTGATCTGGGTGTTACAGATGAGGAAACTTAAGTTTAAGGAGTTTAAATAGCCTGCCCAAGATCACACAGCTGATAAATGAGACATCCAGGATTACCACTCACAATTAGCAGAGACCAAATGCATTGTGTGTTCATCACTACACCACACGGACTCTAAGAGTTCTGGGCATTGACACAGAACACTGAACAGGACAGACATAGCACCTGCCCTCAAAGGCTTTGTGTTCCGGTAGTAGAGACAGTTCTATGTAAGACATGAGGTGGCCATGTTAACACTGGACGGCGATGTATTAGTGGAGGCAGACTGAAAGAAACAGACAAAAGAGATCATTTCTGAGAGTATTACATAAAGAACACAAAAGTAGGGTAAAGTGCTAGAGAAATAACGGAGTGTGGACTGCAGATAGGACAATCAGGGAAAGCCTATTTGAGAAGGTGACATTGGAGGTGAGAGTCAAAAGACGAGGGACAGATCGATGCTACTGCAGAGTTGCGAGCACAGGAGCGAGTGGTGCAAGCAAAGGTCAAAGAGGAGGACCAAAAAAAAAAAAAAAATCTGTTGCCATCGAGTCGATTCCTCCTCATAGTGACCCTACAGGACACAGTAGAACTGCCCCCATAGAGTTTCCAAGAGGTGCCTGGTGGATTTGAACTGCCAATCTTTCGGTTAGCAGCCGAGTTCTTAACCACTACGCCACCAGGGTTTCCAAGAGGAGGACAGGGGCCAAATAATGTAAGACCTTGAAAGTGAAAGTTATTTAAGGGATGGAAAACCACTAAAGGTTTTAAGCAGGGTAATGACATGATATAATTTACATTAAAAGGGAGAAGAAGGGGAAAAAAAAGAAAACCCACCTGGGATGCTGTATGTTGGATAATTGTAGTGGGCCAGAAACCAATTTGGAATTTATTGTAGCCCTCCTCTATGCATCAAGATTGATTTAGCTTAGTTTGGACAACAGATAGATTCCATTTTCAGTCATCAGATAAACTCTTCCTTTTACCTTACTACTTGAGTTCCAGTGTTAATAAAGAATTTCTCTGCCAACACTCCTTCCTTCCAGTTGCTATCAGTCGACTCCAACTTATGGTGAACCCACGTGTTTCAGAGTAGAACTGTGCTCCATGGGGTTTTCATTGGTTGATTTTTCTGAAGTAGCTCACCAGGCCTTTCTTCAGAGGCACCTCTCAGTGGACTTGAACTTCCAATCTTTCAGTTAGCATCCAAGCAAGCATTTGCGCCATCCAAGGACTCCCTGCCAACATCAGTGGCTTGTCTGACTACTGTATAAATCAACTAAAGTATAAATTTCTTGTAAAGATCTGAATATTTGTCACTCGTCTGTGTTTTGAATATCTTATGAATAAAAGGAGTTGCTCTTTCTCTTAAGAAATTCCCTTAGAATACATCACTTATATTCCATCATTTATTTTAAGAATTCAGGAAAATGAACTTAATGTTCAGGCTAGTAGTGAAAAGTGAACTTTTTTCACCATAATTTTCTCATAAACTGTACTTTCTCTTATTTAGTTAAACACTAATGCACTGACAATGCTTTCAGTTAAAATTATCTGGAAAAATTAAATTCTGTCCAAACAAAGTCAGAACAAGGACTGGGTAGGATATTTGAGCATTTTATAAACTTGCTAATAAATATCCTTTGACTCTTCAGAGCAAAACGAGACTTCAGAGGCCCAGAAGAAAATAACTGCTTTGCTTTGTGTTCTTAGTTGATAGCAGCATCAACAATCACCCTTACCTCTCATGTGGAACTGACCAGAACATTCCCATCTTACATGAGCTCCATCACCATTTGTTAAACCTACTGGTCAAAAACCCTGGCTTGTGGGACACATACAAGTGTTATAAGAATTCAGGAATAAAATACCCAAATAACTCACAGCCCTTATTGGAGGGAATAACATTTCAGTTCCACAGCAAGCGGGTACTGTGCACCTATTCTGTGCAGCTCTGTGTTAGCCTTGAAGATACAGAGATAATTCATGCAATATATTATAGATGACACAATACAGGGGAAGTCAGCACAACCTGACCAAGGCAAAGTCATAGAAACTTCCTAGACACATCCAAACACCCTGAGGAACCAAGTTACTGGGGTTAAGGGCAGGGGACTATAGTCTAGGGGGACATCTAGGTCAATTGGCATAACATAGTTCATAAAGAAAATGTTCTACATCCCACTTTGGTGAGTAGCATTTGGGGTCTTAAAAGCTTGCGAGCAGCCGTGTACCATACATCTATTGGTCCCACTGCATTAGGAGCAAAGGAGAATGTAGAAAACCAAAGACACCAGGAAAATGTTAGTCCAACGGAATAATGGCCCACAGCCCCCAGCCCAAGCCCAGAAGAACCAGATGCTGCCTGGCTACCACCACCAACAGCTCTGACAGGGATCACAAGCCAGGGTCCTAGACAGAGCTGGCGAAAAACGTGGAACAAAACTCAAATTCACAAAAAACGACCAGGCTTACTGGTTTGACAGAGACTAGAGGAACCACGGAAGACTAGGCCCCCGGATATCCTGCTAACTCAGAACTGAAGCCACTCCTGAAGTCCACCTTTCAGTCAAATATTAGACAGCCCTATTAAACAAACAATAAAACACATGAAAAACGTGCTTCTTGTTCAATCAAGTATACAAGACCAAATGGGCAACACCTGCCCAAAAGCAAAGACAAGAAGGCAGGAAGGGACAGGACACCTGGACAGAAGGGCACGAGGAACCCAAGGTTGAAAGAGAAAGGGGGAGAGTGCTGACACATTGCAGGGATTGCAACTAATGTCACAAAACAATTTGTATACAAAATTTTTGAATGAAAAACTAATTTGTGTTGTAAGCTTTCATGTAAAACACACTAAAATTTAAAAACAAAACAAAAAATATGTGGTAGATGAGGAGTGCATGGGTGGTACAAATGGTTAACATGCTCAGCTGTTAATTGAAAGGTTGGAGAGTCGCATTCACCCAGAGGTGCCTCAGAAGAAAGGCCTGACAATCTACTTCTGAAAAATCAGCCACTGAAACCCTACGGAGCACAGTTCTACTCTGATATAATACATGATATCACCATGAGTTCGAACTGATCCAGAGACAGCTGGTTTAGAGTCTCTGGGTGGTGCAAACGGTTAACATGCTTAGCTGCTAACCAAAAGGTTAGAGGTTCGAGTTCACCAAAAGGCACCTCAGAAGAAAGAGCTGGCACTCTAATTCTGAAAACTTAGTTACTGAAAACCCTATGGAACACAGTTCTTCTCTGACACAGTTGGGGTCACCATGAGTCAGAGTTTACTGTTTGGTTTGGCTTATTGTAGATGAATTTGTTATGATGGGAACATTCAATTGAAGCAAGTAAACGTGGGAACATGAAGAGGATAAACACCAACTGCTAAAATACTAGGAGGCAACCTCTACCTCAAAGTGAAGCAGAAAATTAAAGACAGCCTAGCGGCACTGAAAACTGCCTCAGGCTCTTGGAAGCAATACTGACGAGCGGGCTAAAAACTACCTCAGAATCCCTTCCATTTCTATTTGATGCTTTTTCTGAAAAACAATCAGTATCTCTTGCCTTTACTTTTTTGACAACATTTACTTACAGTACACTTTTTGTCTTGGTTTAGATGATTATACAGAACTGACTCCATCAGCTGGAACAGTTAAACTTAAGAAGTTCAACAGTGAGTTAAGTCTGGGGTTTACAGTCCCTAATGTCTCCACACCTGTTTTTACATAGATGGCTCAGTTTATATGTATGTATTTTATGCATTTTCAGACTGTTTCCTTTAACAGCCAGTTAGATATCTGGATAATTAACTTACCAGGGCTCATGCCACATCCATCATCCAGGAAGCACAGCATGAATCCACCCTGCAGTGTCTCATTATCCACTGTAAGAGAAAGCAGCATTACTAATAAATACTGGGCTTCATTTGTTTGTCAGAAGGTCACGCTGCTCACATAATTACTCTCCCTCCTCAAACACAGCCACAGAGTGCCAGGGCTGAGGTACAATGATGGTGCTTGGAATAGACTCTTGGCTACAGCTTCACAGAAACCGCAGGGGAAAAACAATTGTGCAAAAAAAAAGGAGACTTTAAATTAACATACAACATCCACACATTAATGAATTCTGTATACAGCATGATGCATTTCCTCCTAGCAGAGGGAATAAAGGTAGATGATGCTGTGACCCCAGGATCTCCTGATCAAATTGACCTACCTTTATGCCCTTCCACCAAAGCACTCATTTGTAAACAAATCCAGGCCATTCTTACTAATGCCATCAGGCTCCCTTCTAAGCAGTTAATTCCCCTAAGAGCCATTTCTGAGTGTTTCTTAGAAGTAAATATTTGCCTCTTGAAGATGCATTTGATTTTTGAAAATTGCCAAGTTATTTGGAATCAATTTTGATGATTAAGAGACACTAATAAACTACATAATATAATCTGGTTTTAAAAAAATTTAAGGTGTAACTAAAATTAATGAGACTAATTTTAACGTGCAGTTTGTAAACTGGCTCTGACAGTAATTTCAACATTTGGATATATGAGTTATAGGATATTTCCTTTTTTAATAACAATTTTATTGAAGAATAATTTTACACAATAAACTGCACGTTTAAAGTGTTGAATTTTGGAAATTTTGACATATGTATACACCCATCACCACAGTCTAGGTAGTGAACACATACATTACCCCAGACATTTCCTGGTGCCCCTTTGGAGCCCCTCGCTCCTGCCCCTTGCCTGTATCCCCCATCCCCAAGTGACCACTGATCTGCTTTCTCCCCCTAGAGATGAGTTTCCAGTACATTTGTTAAGTCAACCTGTATTCAGCAGTCACCTTTTATTCACATTTTAAATAATGATACAAAATAATCCATGTATAAGTACCTGAAAGACATACCTAAGCTTTCAGGATTCATAATGTTCTGGTCATATGCCCACTTCTAATCACCTCCTCGCTCTAATTCATCTGCTTGTCAACAGACACTTCAGCTCTGCCTTCTTGTTGTTGTTAGTTGCTGCTGAGTGGATTCTGACTCACAGCAACTCCCTGTCTGCGGAGTAGAGCTACTCCATAGAGTTTTCAAGGCTGTGACCTATCTGAAGCAGATCACCAGGCCTGTCTTCCCAGGCACTTCTGGGCGGGTTTAAACCACCAACCTTTCAGCTAGTAGTTGAGTGCTTAACCATTTACGCCACCTAGGGACTCTTGGCTCTGGCTTGCCATCTCGCTTTCTCAGCTCCTTCTCTGTCCCCAATCCTTTGGTCTGCTTCCCTCAACTTCAGCATCAGAATATTCCTTCCGGACTCTCCTTAAGGTGTTTGTTCTGTTCAGTCCCCTCTCTAAGGCTGATATTTCTTCAGTATTCAATGAAGGGACTCCAATTCTCATTGGGTTCTTTGCACAAGGCAATTGTTTTCAACCTTGATTAACACTTCAGAATCATCTGGAAATACAGACTTAATTGATCTTGAATGAATTTCAGGAATTGGTATTTTTTCAAAAAGCTCCCTCTGGTTATCTTAAAGGATTGGCAACCACCTGATGTCAATACTGGTCAGGCTCAGCCTCAGGCAGCTCTGCACAAGAGCTACACTGACTTTGCAGCTCTTGATATACATTTCTCATAGAAGGAGACTGCAGGAAAAGGGAAGTCCTCAGCAGATGGGTGGGAAAGACCCAAGACTTCTAGGAGACATATACAGTTGTCAGGGCAATCTAAATCTGAGGTGCTTAACATGAAAAAAATGCCTGAAACAGGTCTGAAATCAGGCCCCATTCTGTCCCTGTTTCTGCTTTCCCATAAATATATGAACCTGGACTTATTTTGCTGGAGGAATTTTGAAGGTTAATGGCCGAAGTATGTGGTTTTGTTTAAGTATGTAAAATGTTGCCTGCACAGAATGTCCTCAGAAAGTTTTTGTTTAGATTGTTCCCAGAGCCCTGTGTAAGAAATAGCTGGTGCTAAAAAGGATAAGTGATTGTCTTATATGCCTGACTGGCTGGAATTATCAACCAATCAGAAAATGTGCTCAGAGGTTCCTGAAATCTTCGTATATAGACCTTTCTTCCCCTCCCTAATGCTGGAGTGCTTCTAACCTTCTTGGCACTACCCAACTGGAGTTGTCTACACCACAGTAAAACATCTCGCTTTTACACCTAGCCGAGTATGAGACTTCTATTATTTTGACACAGTACTTTTTCTGTAAATCCTAAACATGGATTGTAAACTAGCAATCATAGCTTCAAAATTTGACATTGTTTATTTCAATGCCTTAAAACAATGGATTTCAGATAAGTATCATCTGTTCAGGGGCGGATTACCTAGTAAGCAAGGTAAGCATGGGCTTATTTGTGCTTATTTACTAATCTGTAGTAATTACTGGGTAATCTGTCCCTGTCAAGGATTGTAAATTTGTAAAGAGGCTTTGATTCTGTCGGAAGGTGCTGTGGGACTGCGGGAGAGACAGATGCCAGCCAAACCTAGAAGTAAAATCTTCGATGTTGTGAGAAATTGTGAAACTGTTCACAACGGATGATCTGGTCAACAAAGTAAGCACGGTGCTTACCTTGCCTCTTGGATAATCTGCCCCTGCACCTGTTAATTATGCATGTCCAAACAAAACACAATGCCTTCTTCATTGGACTTACTCCTCTGTCTAGTGTTTCTGGTTCAATAAAAATCATCATCCTGCCGTTAGGCTTCAGCTGCCCAAGAAAAAACTTAAGATCATCACTGAGTTTTCTGTCTCCTCACCTCACACACATACGTCTCAGGTCCTGTCAATTCTGCCTCCAAATCTATCAGATTTGACCACTTTCTCCAGCCCTACCACACTGCCTTACTTCTGACAACCATTGTCTCTTTTCTGGGTTACAATAACAGCTCCCTAACTCCTTGCTCCCCCTAAAACCAAACGGTGCAGCCAGTCTGCGGTCAGTTAAATATTTCACTACTCTCCATGGCTTTCCACTGCCCGCAGGGTAAAAACCAAATCAGTTAACAAATCTTTCCTGCCTTCATGACCTGCACCTCTTAGCTCTCCAACCTCAGCTCTTGTCATCCCCTCCCCAGCTCATACTGCCATCTCCCACTCCCACACACACATTCCCGGGAACTAATCTTGAACATCTCAAACACTTTTGCGATTCAGTCAGTGTTCCATGTTATCTCCAGGTTCAGGCCACTGTACATACTGCCCTTTGCCCTCTCCATCCTTGATTCAACAGGCTAAAGGCCATGTTCCCTTTAGGTATTAGTTCACATAGGACTTATTCTAGGAAGCCTTCCTGTCCCTTCCACCACATCAGGCGCTCATATTGAAAGTTCTCTTTGCAATCTTTTATATTGTATTACAATACCAGTTCATGTATTCTCTTCTCTCACAAACCAGTGGTTCTTACACTTTTTTGGAACACAGTTACCTCAGAAATATGATGAAAACTGTAGGCTCTCTACCTATTAAGGTACAGATAGATACATACCACATTTTCCACAGACTCCACATTAGAATGTCAATTCCCTAAAAGTTGGCACTGTGTGTACTCAGCACTTAGCCCAGCACCTGGCATTTGGTAAGTACCAAAAAATTATTTATTGAATGCTGTGATAGTTAATGTTATCTGTCAACTAGGCTATGATTCTCAGTGGTTTGGCAGGTACTGGCCTGGTTGCTCATATAACATAATGTAATCACTTTCCATAATGTGATCTGATGTGATCAGCCAATCAGTTGAAAGAGCAGCATTCTTTAGGATGTGGCCTGCCTCTAGTATATAAATGGACGTTCTGGCAAAGTTCTCTCTCTCGATCCTGCACTCTTCTTGTCACCTGACCTCCGGTTTCTGGGATGTAAGCTGGCAAAAGTCTCCAGCCTGCCACCTGACCTGCAGATTTGGGACTTGCTAGCCCACACAACTGCGTAAGCCACTTCCTTGAAGTAAAACAATCTGTATCTTTCTCTCCCTCCAACTCCCTCTCCTTCTCCCTCTTTCTATATATAATACATGTTTCACTGGTTTTGCTCCTCTAGAGAACCTAGGCTGAAACACACTAGAACTATACACACTAATAAAATACTCATGGCTCTTCCCAAGTTACTTGAAGAAAACTTAAGATTGAAGAGTAATTTAGGGATCTCTGCAATAATTTGAAACTAGTCCAATGCTTAGATTAACTATCCATTCCCAGACCAATTTTATTTATTTGTGCATAAGACCTAGCTCTGGCCTTTTTTTTTTTTTAAGAAAAATCAATTTTGTTAGGTTGATAGCCATATCACAAGTCACTGCAATGAAAAATAAGTTATAACATGAATAACAAAATAAAAAAATAAACAAAAAAAAACATTGCATAAGTTTTGCACAAAGTCGATTCCAACTCATAGCAGAACTATAGGACAGAGTAGACCTGCCCCATAGGATTTCCAAGGAGCAGCTAGTGGATTGGAACTGCTGACCTTTTGGTTGGCAGCCGAGCTCTTAACCACTGTGCCACCAGGGCTCCATAACATGAATACATGATTTATACATTTATTTTTTCACAGAAACATTGGTAAGCAAGAACTCTGATCAAATGCTTCACTCAATTCTCTATTCCCAGCCTAGAGAAGTTGTTGCTTGGCTCGTTCTTAGTAGGCACTGAATAAACTGTTATTGAATAAATGAATTTCTGAAGGAGTCTACTTCCATTCTTTTTCTCATAATAATTCTTCAGACAAGAATATTCTTTTCTTCCTACACTACCTGACAAAAATCACATCCATATTTCAAGCCTTAGCTTCTTAGTATGAGGCATAAACATCTTCTTTCTCTGAGCTCCCTCCATATTCGGAGTCTCTTCTAGATGTTTATTATATTCCATATAATTAAGCATGTATGGAAAGAACACATTTTTCTACTACTGTCATTTCCTCCTGTCTGCTATGGAGTCCAATTAGTTTTAGTAAAGGGACTCTTCTCTACCCTTTCCCCACTCTTTCTCTGTGGGGGTAGGCTGACCTCTGATTGGTTAATTTGGGAAGAAAAAACAAGGCAGGTTATGTTCAGATTCCCAATTTTTCCTCTTGAGAAGAAGCTGCCTGCATAGAGTTTGAGTTCTGCTCTGTTCTCCCCAGGCAGGCCAGTTTTGAGGGGAAGCCTGACTCGACTAGGTGGGGAGTTGGCCTGATTCTGGGGTTTGATCTGCCAGTCCATTTGGACCTCATGCTAGTCTACATACTCTAACCTAGCACTCATCAGTAATAAAAGTTAACTCTTTTGTTTAATTTCTCAGACTTTTCAAAAGTGTCATTTATTATGTTTCCCCAGATACCATCAGCACCCATATGGCTCAGAATCTTAATTAAGCACTCAGACAATGGAACTGAATGGCGTTGCTTTGTTAACGCAGACAGGGATTTACGCTGTGGACCACCTTCTCTCACTTGGAACCAACGGCCAGCATTTGCAGGAGAGCTGGCAGAACTGGAGCGGGGAACAGTGTTAACACTGTCAACATAGGCCTTTTCTCTACGTAGTAGTACTATAGAACTGTTTCACAGAATCGAACTTCATTAGGATCATATTCTAATGAAATGAACTAATTAGTGCAATAAATACTTGGTGTCTAAAAATAAAGTCAATATATGAAACGTGTTTAGTTTGGATTTTATAGCCTCAGACATTCATACTGCACATTCACTTATGCATTTCAAAACTGTGATAAGATGGGAATGATGTTTGCTTAATTATAAATAACAATTAAGTTAATAAGCTTTTTTTTAAATAAAACTGTTTTCTCATGGCAGACAAGCTGCTCCAAATCACTCTGAAGCTTTCACAAAACTCTGGAAGCCCTAACTTGGTAAATGGGTCCTCTAACAACCAAACGTTTTGACCCTCAGAGCACACTTTCTCATACTGGCACTCCACAGGGTCACGGTAGTCACAAAGCACTCAGATTACTTTAAAATCTATACAGTGTGGTTTGATTTCATGAAATATAATAAAGAGTAAAATTACACGGTTTTTCCATTAAATGGGAAAAAAAGGGAAGAAAGCAAATCAGCTCACCTGAAAACACATCAAGTCTTCTGGCCCCTGCATCTCTGAAAGCAATATAAAAAATATCATTTCTTCAATTTGAAATTATGTTTTTAAAAAATTACATTAATCTGAATTGCTTATGTAAGGTATAATCTGTGGTCAGGTATCAAACAATAGAGAAATACACTTGAATTGCTTCAAAAACAATCACTAGAATGTTTCACTGTACACTTATATATCAAAGCCTAGGATCACTCATAATTTGAGAATGTTACAAAGCCTGAAACTCGTAAGTTTAAGAGATGGCATTTAGTGGTAGTTACACAAAAAGCTCAACAATATGAATAATAATAATTTAAAATATGGTTGGAGAAATATCTAGAAGTCATAGGTTTTCATGATATATTTTAATTAAAAAAACTGTAGAGAAAAGGAAAATTACTAAGTAATATGTATTATATGATAACACTTTGAAGAACATATATGATATACATATGCATATCTAGAAGCAAACAAATCAAAATACTAATAGTGTTTTCTCTAGGTCAGAGGTTGGCAAACTACGGCCCATGGGCCAACTCTGGCCCACTGAGTTTTCATAAACAAAGCTTTATTGGAACACAACAATGCCCATTCACTTACGTATTGTCTATGGCTGCCTCTGCACTGATCCGGGAGAGCTGAGTGGTTTCAATAGAGACCATGTAGCTGATAAATCTGAAAATATTGACTATTTGGTCTTTCACAGAAAAGTATGCGGACGCCTGCTCTTGATAATGAAGATAATGAATCTACCAATGAGCTTTTCTTTTTTTTTTCCTTATTTTCTCAGTTTTCTAAAATTCATAGATATTTTTGTACTTTTAGAGCTAATTTTTAAAAATAAAAATGTAAAAGAGAAAGGAGAAAAAGCCAAAAGAATGTGGCTTCAATATCATGGGTATGAGGGAAAGGAAAAAGACATGGAGGATTTAGGTCTCAGCTGATGAGGAAGAGGGTATGTTGAGGAAAGGAGTCCAAAAGGAAGCTCAGTGTAATAACAACCACCAGTGGGATTCTGACTGGGGAAACTTGAGTTTCTCCCAACATTTCCATCAGCCCGAACCTAAAACTGTCTCAAATAAATCTGAATAGGCAGAGTGTACTTGATCTACAAACCTAGTTTCAAAGTTAGTCCCTTAGCTACTTCCTTTGGCAAACTGCAGCCCCTAAGACCCTCCTATATAGAAATTCTGGAGTTACCACTGCCATTTCCTGAATGTTGTCTATTTGTCAAGTAAGCACTGAATGAAGCATTTTTGAAACTTCTCTCCTCACCACAACCCTATGACAGGTAAGTATCATTATTTCCATTTTACAGATGAGTAAGCTGTCCACACAATGAAGGCAGTGGTGGTTCAGTGGTAGAATTTTCAACTTCCATGCAGAAAACCTGGGTTTGACTCCCAGCCAGTGCACCTCATGCACAGCCACTACCCATCTGTCAGTGGAGGCTTGCATGTTGCTATGATGCTAAACAGGTTTCAGCAGAGCTTCCAGACTAAAACAGACTAGGAAGAAAGGCCTGGCGATCTACTTCTGAAAATCAGCCAATGAAGGGTGGGGCCAAGATGGTGGAATAATCAGACGTTTTGTGTCATCCCACTTACAACAAAGACCCAAAAAAGACAAGTAAATCGAATATATGTGACAATCTAGAAACCCTAAGCATCAAAGACAAAGCTGAAGAATTGGACTGAGTGACAGGTGGAAGGAAAAACATTTCAAAAACAGCAGAAAGGTGGAATTAAGGATCACTGGATCATCGGCATCCCGCTAGCTGTACCTGCACAGTGTGGACATATTGAGGAAAGCGGCAGCATTCCACGCTGAAACCCACCCCAACAGGTGCAGCTAAGCAGAAGAGATTCTACATATACCTCCAGAATCAGACAGGAGTGACAACAGATCTGCCAAAGTTAAGTGAAGACTCCCAACACACCATGCGTACCACGGCCTCTCCCCCAACCAGCACTCCAAGAGCCATGGACCCCATCTGGAGGTGCCTGCCCCTTTGCTCAGCCACTGACACGGGGGTCCATGGGCTTGCTGCACCCTCCACCCCCTCTGATCACCCACACCAGTGCCTTGCTGGCTGAGTTGGTACAGCATGCCCACGTTAGCATAAGGCAGACAGAGTTCCCAGCTGAAGCCCATTCTCACCAGCAGCAGCCAAGTGGGAACTGCAGGTCTGTGACATTCAACATCGCCCTGCCCCTTAATCCTGTAGCTCTTAGCCTGGTCTGACGCGCCTGCCCCATAGCCCAGCCACTGGCACAGGGATTCCACAGGCTTGCCGCGTCCTCCACCCCATCTGATCACATACACCAATGCTTTGCTGTTGGGCCCAGGATGGCATGCCCTCATTAGGACACAGTAGGCAGGGTTCCCAGCAGAAACGTATTTTCACCTGCAGCAGCCAAGGAGGTGCTGTAGATCTGTGGCATTTGACACCGTTCCACCTGGTAAGAAGGAACCTCAACCACTCACACCAGGTCTCAGGGCTGGCAGTACTACCCACTCCATCCAGCCACCCACTACGGGGGCCTGAGAACCAGTGGTGCCCTCTAATCCCTCCAGCCAACGGCACCAGGCATGCAAGGACCAGCTGCACTAGACCTCACTATGCGCTCTAGTGGACGGGGGCAGGCCCTCCATCCAGGCACCCAGGGGCAGCCAACAGCCCCCTGCCTTGCCTCCCACATCACCCCCCACTGTAACCAGAGACCTGTGCCTGCTCCAAACCGCCCCCCACAGCCCTGCCTGCCAGGGCTATAGGTGAGAGTCTCCACAACACACTCTCAGTGACCGACAACCCAGGCACCTTCAACTCAACTATCTAGCAAGCAGCAGAGCACACACACGTCACCCAACCCAATGACCAGGGATAACACCCCCTGCACCCATGGGCAGGTGACCAGCAGGACAGATTCATCACCTCACCTAAAATACCACCTATGTCCTCAGCAGCTCCGTAAAACAGTGAACAGAGTCTGGGCTCATACACCTAGTAGCTGCTCTGCCCACCTGAAGACAGGAGATCAGAGCTTCAATGAGGCCAGATTAACCACCAAAGGAGCACACACGCCTATCCTCCTTGGACATATAAAACAAAATAAAAATTCAGGACACAGTAAACAAATATACAATAAATAAACAAATATAATAACTTCTTGATGCCTTGGAGACAAGTCAATATCAAGCCACATAAAAACAGCAGGACAAGAGGGCTCCAGCAAGCAACCAAGATAAAGAACCAGAAAACTTTCCACATACACAGAGCTCTCCAAGAGATCAGGAAGAAGATCAGGGAAAACACAGATAAAACCGAGGAACACACAGATAAAAAGCAATAGAAGAATTCAGAAAAACAATACAAGAACAAAACAACAGAATAAACAGGCTACTAGAAATCATATAAAACCAGCAACTAGAAATCCAAAAGATTAACAATAAAATTTCAGAATTAGACAACTCAATCGAAGGTCATAGCAGAATTGAGACCATGGAATTCAGAATTAGTAAGACTGAAGATAAATCCCTTGACACCAATTTCTTTGAGGAAAAATCAGAAAAAAGAATGAAGAAAGCCTAAGAATTATATGGGATGCTAACAAGAGGGAAAACCTACAAGTGACTGGAGTTTCAGAATGAGGAGGAAAACGGAAAACACAAAGTTCTGTTGAAAATTTGCTGGCAGAAAACTTCACTAATATGAGAGGGAAGAAGAAAACCATCCAAGAAGCTCAACGAACCCCATACAGGACAGACCTCAAAAGAAAGTCACCAAGGCATGTCATAACCAAGCTTGCCAAAACCACAAACAAAAAATCCTAAGAGTGGCTAGGGATAAACAAAAAGTCATCTAAAAGGAGAACCAATAACACTAAGCTCTGATTACTCAGCAGAAACCATGCAGGCAAGGAAGCAATGGGATTACATACACAAAGCCTAAAGGAAAAAAATTGCCAACCAAAAATTATATATCCAGCAAAAGTGTCTCTCAAATAAGGTGGCGAAATTAGGTCACTACCAGATAAACACAAGTTAAGGGAATTTGTAAAAACTTGATCCAACTTACAAGAAATATTAGTCCTTCAGCTAGAGAACAACACTAGACAATAAGTCAAGACTAGGACACTAGACAGATCAGCCAGATAGCAACCCAGAAAGGGAATTCTCAAATATAAAACAAAGGTAAAACACAGAAAATAGGGAACCTGAGACATCAGTATGAAAATGATGACAACATCAAAACCAAATAGAGGGAATAAACAGTATCGTCTTAGAACTTCCATACGGAGAGGAAATCAAGGTGATATCAAGATAAAAGACTGTTAGAAATGTCATAGCCAACTTTTTTTCCCCAGTTTGTAGGTTCTCTTTTTACTCTTTTGGTGAAGTCCTTTGATAAGCATAAGTATTTAATTTTTAGGAGACTTCATTTATCTAGCTTATCTTCTGCTGGTTTATGTATTGTTAATTTGGCTTATATGCTATTTATGCCATATATTAGGGCCCCTAGTGTTGACCCTACTTTTTCTTCCATGATCTTTAAACTTTTTGGTTTTATATTTAGGTCTTTGATCCATTTTGAATTAGTTTTTGTGTATGGCGTGAGATATGAATCCTGTTCCATTTTTTACAGATGGACATCCAGTTTTGCTGGCACCATTTGTTAAAAAGACCATCTTTTCCCCCATTTAATGGACTTTGGGCCTTTGTCAAAGATCAGGTGGATGTAGCTAGATGGATTTATATCTGGATTCTTGATTCTGTTCCATTGGTCAATGTGTCTGTTGTACCAGTATCAGGCTGTTCTGACTACCATAGCTGTACAGTAGGTTCTGAGGTCAGGTAGTGCAAGGTCTCCTACCTTGTTCTTTTTCTTCAATAATGCTTTACTTGTTCAGGGCCTCTTTCCTTTCCATATAATGATTAGTTTTTCCATCACATCAAAAAATGCTGTTAATATTTGGACCAGGATTGCATTGTATTTGTAGATTGCTTTGGGTAGAATTGACATTTTCACAATGTTGAGTCTACCTACCCATCAGCATATTACACTTGTCCATTTATGCAGGTCTTTTTTTGGTTTCTTGAAGTAATGTTTTGTAGTTTTCTTTGTACAGGCCTTTTACATCCCTAGTTAGATTTTTTCCCAAGTATTTTTTTTTTTTAGGGTATTCTTATGGTATTGCTTTAAAGATTTCCTTTTCATAGTTCTCTCTATAGGCACAGGGGATTTCAACTGATATTTGTATGTTTATCTTGTATCCTGCTACTCTGATGAATCTTTCCATTAGTTCAAGTAGTTTTCTTGTGGAGTCTTTTGGGTTCTCCATGTATAGTATCCTATCATCTGCAAATAAAGACAGTTTTACATCTTCCTTCAAATTTGGATGCCCTTTATTGCTTTTTCTTGCCTTATCGCTCTAGCTAGGACTTCCAGCACAATGTTAAATAGGAGTGGTGATAAAGGGCATCCTTGTCTTGTTTCCGTTCTCAAGGGGAATGTTTTCAGCCTCTCTCCACTGAGAATAATTTCGGCTGTTGGTTTTGTATAGGTGCCCTTTATTATGTTGAGGAATTTCCCTTCTAATATTATTGAGAGTTTTTATCAGGAATGGATGTTGGACTTTATCAAATGCCTTTTCTGCATCGA